TGAAAACATAGAGACGTTAAACCACACCATATACGATGATACCACAAATATATATATATTTTCTTTCACTCTCTAGTCTCTTGCCAGAACACTTGGAGATCATGATGAAGATCATGCATAATCAGGCAGAGAAACCCTCTTCAGATTTAACACTTAGCACCTTGGGAAGGGAGTTCCACAAGTGCTAGCAACTTTCCTTGCATTAGGTGAGTCCACAAACCTCTTCAGATTGGGGTTCTTGAGGTATTGGCAAAGGCATGGTTTCTGTTCCTTGATCTTGGAGCAGCATAGGTTTGATGGAGGAGTTGAAGAGGTTATTGCACTCACACATGAACTCAGCTGTACTGGGCTGCATGTTACTGCCATTGACACTTGAACTTCAGCCACAAGCAGCACCACCAAAGTGCACAAAGCAATGTGTGCTGTCTTCATTTTCACCTCAATTAGGATGAAAAAGGGTTGTGTTTTGAGTGAGAATGAGAGAGGAATATGTGTTAATTGCTTCTGTGATGGTGCATTTTCGGTTGAGTTTAGTCCCTATTTATACTAAGAGCTTACCGAAAAGCTAAAGTAAAATAAGACTGAAGGAGAGTGAATAGCTAGGTTTGTCCCTTATTTCACCACTTTAAACTTTCCACTATTTAAAGGTAAAATTACTTCATTCCAGAGATTTATTAGCATCCAAATTACTGCTTAATGATTTCAGGTAACAGTAAATATTACTGTAAAATGTTACAAATCGCTTTTTAAATATTTAACGAAACTGAGTACTTTCGGATGTAATCTGCACAGTTTTTCTTCTTGTAGTTTATTGATGTTATAATTTTTCTTCTTCTTAGTGTCTGAAAGTCAAGATTATATGGCTATTTTATATCTTAGATGGTTTGGTCATATAGTTCAGGGTTGAAATTTTGCATGTTATAATTAACATTTTAGTACCTTTCGGTGGAACTTGGTGGTCAAACCGATTTAACAGATCAGACTGAAACTATAGCCAAATTGAGATGCAATTATTTCCTACTGTTAGTGGTGCAAAATTTCAATCTCTCAGAAAATTGGAGTAAAAGGACAGAATGAAAGAAAGAAAGATGATTCCAAAACATGTGGTGAAATTATTTTTCAGTCAAAAAGCTAGATTGCTGATTTCAGCCTAAAGGGAATTTCCAGTGGCATAGATAAAAGAAAATTAATGTCCAGTAATAAGTAATCATAAGAAAAGAAATTAATTCTCCCAAAATCAACATTTGTTTTAATCCTAAGTAAGTCCAGTGACATAGTCAAAAGTATTATTCATTTTCACGATTTTATCTACATTTTAGAAAATAAAAAAAGAAAAGAATATTTAAATTATGTTTGATCTTAATTGTTAAATTACACAAGACTATTGAATGTGACAGAACAATTTTATAAGTAATTAATTGAGACTTACTATAATATATATATATATATATATATATATATATATATATATATATATATATATATATATATATATATAAGTGATAAGATTACTTCCAAACTAAAATAATTTAAGACAATAAATTTATAGTTTTTTTTTCTTATATGATATTTAATTTTCTATCTATTCAATGTAAGATTTAAACTTAGATTTCTTAACACATACTTAAATTACATATTACAACAGAAAAATGTTCTGTTGTTTTCACTTGTGTTTCCAAAATTTCTACTAGCATGCATGAATGTCTCTGACCCACCATTTCGGCCGTGGTACCTTTCGGTGATGTTGATGTGGTGAGTATTTGTTTACACCCATGTGTGCTTCTTTTATTATAAAGCCACATGCTCTCTTATGATGATCATAACACGCACTGGGAAATTAGTGACATGAACTTCACAATCAGTAGCCATCATGATAAAGGAGGGTGCTGCATAGTGCAATGGATTACAAGGAATAGAGTGCTGCCAATAGAGAGTAATCTCTGTGGTTTCATTGATGCAAAAGGGTTTGAATTTTGATCACTGTAAGATTAATCGGTGTGTTGTAAAAGGCAGTAATTAATAACCATTTCTTAATTGTCGTCTAATGGAAATGGGAAATCCCTCTGATCATAATGATTAAGACTCATCATATTCTTGTCAAGTGTTCAGTATTTTATTACACATATCACTGTTACAAGATTTTACTATGAGAAATGGGAAAAAATAAGTGAGGATCATTAGATTTGCTATTTTGAATGTGAAATTGTCAATTGAAAAGTGAAAAACTACCTAGTGGAAGACATGTCATATTCAGATTAGAAGGTGCAGTTTTTGTTTTTGTAGACACCTAATCTTTTGAAAGTTCCATTTTTTGTTCAGATCTGCTATAATGATCATTGATCTGTTGTGTGTGGAAGGCAAATTAAGCACATCCCACAAGATTTAAGAGAAGATTACTAGAAAAACACAACACTAATGAAAATAAACTAAAGAAAGATGTATGAGTTTGTTCATTTTAAATGGTAAATCTCAAGTGTAATTGACAAATGTTACTATTTCTGAATGCATTTGGTATGCTATGCATTTCTACAATCAACTTATCTGCAAATAGGTTCATAGTTTTACATTTGATTATGTTGGTTGTACACTATATATACTTTAAGCACGCCAAGCAATAATAATCATCAGCTCAGTTGTTGTTCAATAATTCATATGGGAAAAGCAAAAGAGAGATCAAATTGGCGTGAATTCACGCACATAATCATTGAATTTACTGGTTTATTTTGGTCCATTCTAAGTCAAAATTAAAGGGGGGTTGTATTTTTATTGAACAATTAAAGTGGCTGTGATGATGATGCAACGTGTGGGGCCTTAAAATTATGGTACCTTCAACTTTTAATCTTCATGCTGCTCAGATGATCATTGATGATTTATCATTGCTTACATCAGTCGATTTTGGCCTACAGAGTGCAGAACAACGATTAATGATAAGCTCACATATCAATCTGCACAAAAAGCTTATTTCACTATTGTATGAAGCACCAACACCACCATCCTACTTTACCTTTTCTCAAGATTCATGTTCCTTCTCTTTTCATTTCACTGACTTCTTTATCTTTGGCGAGAAAATCAAGGCTAATTCTTCTGTACTTTACAAAGAATGACTGTTAGTTATTACCATAGATCTATCAGTAATCTTGCATCTTTACTCTTGTCTGAAGCATTTATTAATTTGTTATAAGATTTTGAGTGTAAGTTTCACATTAAATATAATGAAAAAAATTGAACATTATACAAATGAATATAAATATGTTAGTGTTACTTTTTATTATTAGTTTATGGTGAAACTGTTGTAGAACGAAGCGTGATAAACTTGTGAAAAAATTACCTCAGATAAGAATATTGGTTTAGAAAATACTCTAAGTTAAAACAAGTGAGAACACTAATACAGAGAAGTACAGGTGTGACAATATTAAATTCAAAGGACTAATTAGGTTTCTATAATTATGTTCTTTTCCAGCAATAGTTAATAAACCTATTAAGAAAATCAAAGTCATAATTAAAAAAATAAATTTAAATATTGTTAAATAATTGATAAGGTGATTTTGTGGGCCAGGGAAATTTACTAGAAAAAAGAGAGCTAGTAATGTATGATGATGCATGGAAGAGGGATTAATTAGGCATGCTACTGAACCTGCTTTTCTAAATTAAGGAGTATCCCAAGATAATAAAATATTTCTCAATTCCATCCCCTCAAAATTCAAATGTTTATAACACACACATGTTAAAATGTTTAAGAAATACTATATTAATATAAAAACTACTTTATACCACATTTCTATAGATCAAAAATTCAATATCAAATTAATGACGGTGATTAAGCCATTTATTATTTAAATTAATATTATCTCGAAATCAATAGTTAAATTAGACGGTCAATTCATCATGCGCAACTAATTTAAAATTTAAATAATTTATTTATCGATTCTCTGGTTAAATTATACTTTTTTTCGTATAATTATTTAAATTTATTGTTTTAAATGAGATCAAATTTTTCGATCAAATCCAAGTCTATCAAGTCGCTTTGCAATTTTTATCTACTTTAAAAAAGTTATGAAAAAAAAAATATAAGTAAAACTAAAAATCAATATGTATTTTTAAAATTGAAATCATATTATTAAGTTTAAATTTAAATTTTAAATATATATAAACAGATATAAATTATGATACATATATATTTTAAAAGCTTAATATTTATTATAATTCTAAATATAATTATTATGTTATAGAATAGACAGGATAATACACCACCACCACCATTGTAACTGTTACCATCATCATTATTGCACCATTGTCATTGTACGTTCATTATCTGTTGCATAGGAAGAAGATTAGGAGAAAGAGCTCTTTCTGGAAAGAATTTTATTATAAAAAAAGCTTGTTTCTATACATATTTCATGTGTTTTGAAAATTACGAGGTGCAATTAGAAATTATCAAGATGATGGAAAAAAATTCAGTTTATACAGAAGATCTTATTACCAGGCCCATTTTACAGGCGTTTTAAGCCCATGTTTGTCCAGCCTATTTGGCATACTGGGCTTTGGCTTCTTCAAATGTGTACAACAGATAAAACAAGTTGTTGTCAAGGAGAAATTACTAGATAATCCTTTATGGTATCATTTACATTTTATTTTGACTAAGTAATATTTATTTAAATTTAAAATGAATAAATTAATAATATTAATTATACGACATTTAAAAATAAGTCAAATCACAATAAACAAACGATAATCCAAATATTACCTTATTAAACAAACTTAAAGTAGCTAAATCCTTCCTTATACGCATTAACTTCCTTAAAATCTTGAAATGTTTATCCAAACGCTGCTTTATTTCTTCTTCTGTCCTCTTATTACCAAAAGAAAACACTAAATACATTTCCTGACATAAAAATATCAGAAGCACTTGTCAATATATTCACGAACGCAAGAAGTTAATAAAGTAATTTGAAATGCCTTATTTTTATGATCAAATGAAAGAGTAGTAATGTTTTTTACCAAGTAACATTGCCAAGTATATATAAAATTCAAATTGTAAAGACACCTGCGAAAAGCGCGTTTCCAATAATATGTAAATGCGCTCAATTGTTACAAACGTGATTTAGGATAACTCCTTGAATAAGACAAACACTATCTATATATATATATATATATTTCTGTTCGATGTGGGATCAAAGTCATGTAATCCTAACAACTATGATGATGGAATGTATACCATGTTGTCCAATTGAGTTGGAGCAAGGTTAGGATTCCCTAAAATAGCATCAAAATCCTTCCAGTGGTCATGTAATTGTGCCCTCAAGAAGGCCACAACCAAGCCTCCAATGGTTCTTCTCATCAAATCCCTAGGACCTGATCCATTCTTGCACGCACATTTTGACAATAATGTCCCAATTACTCCTGCTGTTTCATCGTCCAACATGTCCATGTGACCATACCTTGCCACCACGAAATTTGCACAAGGTGGTTTGCACTCCTTGAAAAACTCCTTATGGTTCATCCCATCAGGAGCACAAGGTGGAGTGCAACAATTACTCTTCTTTGGACCCAGCCCAGAACCAATCACAGCAACAGGCATGTTCAAATTGAAGGATCCTGGCACTCCCTTCAGAATATGAGGATTTGTTTCACAAGACTTAGATATTCCAGCCACAGGGTCTATGCCCACCAGTGCTGAAAATTTTAGCTTGATTTTTGAATAACCAAGTGCAACACAAAATGCTGTCTTTCCACCCTTACTATGACCTGATACTACCAATTTCTCCAAGTTGGCTTCAACCTTCTCTGGTAGCAAAGGTTGAAGCCCCTCAGCTAGCCAATCTACAACTTTTCCTGCAGATTTTACTTCACTGGGTTCAAGCATTGGCAACCCTTTGCAAAACTAAGAAGAAATAAATGTAAAAACTGTTAGAGAAACCCAAAAGGAATAAAAAATTGTTCACCTCAAATTTCTCTTCTAGAGCTTCATATCTGATTGCTCTATCACACA